CTACTATTTTATCTTGTTCATTATTCTGTAACATTGTTGTCAATGGTTTTGGTATACTTAAATCATTCTGATCTAAGTTAATATAATAACTAAATTCTTCTGACAGTTTTGCATCACTAGCAAATGCACAAATGCAGGCATAAAAATGTACACAACGTTTATTCTGGGAAGATTGTGCTACATCTGGTTTTTCTCCTGTCGTTTTTGCTATACCCTGCAATAATTTTTATTACAATTAATATTATCCTTACTTGTAAATAATTTAAGTTAATTCATTATTTCATACCTACCTTAAATGCAGAACAAGAACAAAAATAGCGATGTTCAATTCTATCTTTCAATTTTGTAACAAAAAGAGAAAAATGAAGGTAGCCTAATGGATGTTTTGGTGAAGCTTTGCATTTTACTGCCATTATATTTTTAGATACACGTTGTACTAAAGGACCTGAAGTTTCTGTAGCCAATAACCAAATCTCTTGCTTCATTTCATTATTTACATTTAAAGATGATAGAATAGAATTCCTTAGTGTTAATGGCTGTGCTTCTGCATAACATCTTAAGGCTGCTTGTATATGTTGGCATGTAGAAACAGGCACATCGGACGAATTTTTTTCCTATAGCAAAGAACATTAAAATATTTTGTAACTTAGAAGTGACATTATAAATGCTTATATCATTGTAATAGCACACATTTTAATATTTGTAGAACTTACATGACATTTAAGAACACTAGTATCGAAACTTCTTTCACAACTATCAACAAAGCATAATGCAGTGGATTGTGAAATGAGTGTTGTCATTTCATTCGAAATTGTTGCATTTATCAGTGGTAACTGAACAAACCCACGGTAGTCTGGACCTTTGTCACGTACACGAACAGAAAAAACTTGAGCAGTTGTGCCTGTAATAAGCTTACATGCTTCTGTTGACAATTTTCTTTTTTCACCAGGTTCCTTAAACACTGCATCACAGTATTTGTTTTTACAACATAAACCACGAGATCCATTATAAGTTCCACATTTTGGACATTTACGAACTCCACGTAATGTAGCTTTTCCCAAGTCAGACAGTAGCTTCCTCAAACGCTCTTCATTAGACATAGCTAGCAAATATGTTCATTTTAATAATATACATATAAATTCTAATACATTAGCAAAAAGGAAAATATGCTTAAAATAAATTATTTTGTAATATTCTACATTTAATATGCATAAATTTTATATTACTACAATTTTAAATTATCACTTAAATATTATAAGTACTTTCATAATATAATAAATATAAACATAAAATTATGCATCACTATGTTTAAGCATCATGTTCACATCTATTCTAAAAATACCACTATAAATAACAATTAATTTCATAGTTGTTAATATAGAATTCTAAAATACAAAATATATTAAAATCATTGAAAAGAGAAATTCAAATAACATTTATATTTTCATATTGAGAAAGCACTACTTAAACTTATACTAAATAATGAAGCATTGTTTTATATGACACATTTTGCAAATTCTAACTGATATGCGAGTACAAGATATCAAGTTTTTAGCTGCTCTTACCTTGTGCAACAGAATCAATGATTATAATAAAAGAAAAAAGTTATATGCCTTTCACTGATAATTATATTACAGAAAAGTTTGCTTCCTATAGTAAATAAATAAAGCTCATCTCAATGCTAAATTGCTAGTATTTACGGCAGAGGGCATTCCTCTCTCTACAATATTAAACCAAATTCATAGAACGAAATGAATCTTCAATTACTCTTAGTTCATAATATTATTTCTAAATAAAACTATTTTGTATTTATTAAACCAATGACGTTTTGTATTTATTAAATCATTCGTCGTTATAAATTATATTATTATATATACTTTTTTGAAAATATTTAAAATAATGTTAACATTTTATTAATTTTTTTCGGGTTGCATTATATTGGTTTCCAATAGTCTCCTTTCCTTTTTATTATTTATTTAGTGTGTATAATAAAACATACTATCTTGAATATATGATACCCTTATGAAAATATCGTTACATCATAAACTGCTAAAGGCAAGTACGCAACGAAAAGGATAACGTCCCAACCTCTGGTCTATCGATCTTAGCACCACGAATTACTCGGAGAGATGGTGCATGCAATGGTGAGGAATAAAAGAAAAAGCGTTTTTCGTCTCGAGATCGTCTGTTAGAATTATCAGTAGAGTTGATGAAGACGGCCCCTACCACAAATGCCGCGACTCATGCATATCTAGCCCCTTAATTACCCATATATATAGGCTGTTACGTGACCATGTGACTCCCCGTCTGCGATTCTAAGCGCGCCAAATATAAATTGTACAACGGTGTGACCAAAGAAGTGAATAAAGAAACTCGGTAACATATATTGTAAACTGCCACTGATTACTGTTTGCAAGGACTCGTTAAAATAAAAATTTATCCTTGTTGCTATGCAAAGAACCATTGCTGAAGTGTAAAACACCTGCTTTAAAAGAAATTTGTATTAATAATTTTATATAGATTCATTAATTTAATTGGAATTTATTATTTAACTAAAACATGTTAACATCGAATAATGAATATCGACGACGCTTAAACATTCCTTCCTTTCTCACCGCTCAAAAAATCTAGACGCCATATTTTTGAAATAAAAACAAATTGTATAAACATTAAAATCTTTTGTTATTAAATTCCTACTATTATTATTGTTATTTAGTTCAGTTGTTGTTTCATGAAAGATTTAACGTTTACATTTTCTTGTTCATTTTAAATATAACTATTTACACGTCTAAAAGTAGAGCGTTTTAACACACCACAAACAACAAACCCGTCCAAAATCCAAATTGGCCATGCACCAATAGGAATGAGGACTGGAGCGAACACTTGTCAGAGAAATGGAGATTGTGAAGATTTCGATGAGACATCTGGTGGCTAGCGTCAGAACCACTCAGATAGGGAATTTAATAAATTCGCTAGCGCTCGCCAACGGAGGAGCCCAGGGCATCTAGAGATATTACACTATTATCTATCTTTTTAACACTTCATACAACTTATTTTCTTAATTCGAATATTTATTTAGATAAATAAATTAATTTACTATATAAATCATCCTCGTTGAATATTCAAATAAATTATCATAATGTTGACATTTATATGTACATATCGTAGATTCAATGAAAAAACAAAATAAAGAAATTGCTTAATATAACTTTTAAATTTCGGAACTTCAAGTCCTATGTTTACATCATGTGTATTGGTATCAAGTCACATAGCCATGTTTAGCAAAATTTTGTATGAAGTGTGAAGTATCTGTGGGGACTAGATTAATTAGAAAGTGAAATATACGTTAATAACGTATGGTACTGTGTAACAAGTAACACTTAACCTCTAAGTATGAAACAGTTTTCAATAACATTAATGAATCTTATCTAACGGAGTTTTAGAAGACAAATTGAACGTGAATAACATTTATGTGCAATAATTGAATGGTATTTATTAGAATATTTATTTAGTTCCAACTATTAATATATCTATTTGCTGTATTTCATATTTAACTAAATTTTCGATATTATAATCATTAAGGTTATGTGATTATAATTTTTTAACATAATTTTGTAATTATATATTACATTTTTTTATATGTTAATATTTTGCTAATATATTACTGACATAATAATATGATTTGCAAAGGGTGAATTTATAAAAACTGTGTTATAAAGTAAATGAATATGACGGCGGCAATTAAAACATTGTGGAAGCAAGCGTTAAATACATTTGAAGAACGAAGTAACGTTGGATTTAAACTTTGTCACAAAAATTTTGACAAATTGCGGTATTTAATGAACAAGATTACAGCTGAAGATGTAAATCTAAATAAACAAATTCTTGATTTCATTCAAGTACAACATGCACCAATGTGGGTTATTGACATATTTGAAAATAAAGACTTTGCTATTTCAATTTTTATACTAAAACATGGATTTACAATGCCAATACATGATCACCCTGGAATGTATGGTTTCTTAAAGGTGTGTAATATATGTAATTTCTTTCTAATGTGTAACATTTATCATAACATATATATTAAAAATGTATCATTAAATTATATGATTGTTTCATTTAAAAAATTGTATAGAATTTAAACTTTTGATTTTATTTTACAATATAGGTAATCAGTGGTATAGTTCAAGTAAACAATTATACTTTAAAGGCAAATGAGGATCATACAATTAGATTGAACAAAGAAGTAACAGCATTTAGACACAAACCAATATCTTTACATAGCAATTCAGCTGCTTGTACTCTTACACCAAGAGACAAAAATTTGCATGAAATTACTTGTATTGAAGGTCCTGCTGCATTTTTGGATATACTCAGTCCTCCTTATGATGTAGATGATTGTGGAAAAGGTCCAAGGCCATGTACATTTTTCAAAACTGTTAGTAGTTCTAAGTTATGTACAGATTCACCAGATTTAGTTGAAGAAGTTAAATTGGTGGTTATTGAAGGTCCACCAGACTTCTGTTCTGGAAGTCTCAAATACACAGGACCACCCTTAATGTGACCTGAAGTATCAAAGAACATATTGTGTTCCATTTGTTAAGAAATTTTGCATTTGCATTAATTTACCATTCTAATTGTTTTATAAATTTTTAAGGATGTACATTCTAATTGAATGTACAATATTGGTGTTTACCCCTTGTACCTTTTTACAAACACAAAAGTGTATTCACAGAAACAGAAGTTAAAAGTATTTTATATTCTGTAATATTAGTTTATTATTATTAATATA